TTTTTCCGCATCCTGTGCGCTTTTCCACCAAAAAATGCACCATTACCGTCTATAATTAGCTGTTTAAGAAACTTCAGCACTTCAAAGGCACTATTTTGTCAAGCGGATGCTGCTTGAAAGGATCTGGTGAGCTGGGCGCTTCTGACAGTTGGGATCACCCGGCCAGCAGATCAAAGGGAAATTGCTGGAAAATCGAAATTAGTTTGGACTTGGCGTGGCTGAGTTTTCTCTATATGAATAATGCAACTGGACGGGAACGGTCGCATATCAATTAATGGAAAAGCGAATTACGATGCCGGCTACTTGTGGCACTCACCCACTTTCCCGGCACCGCAAACTCGTTATCCATCAATATCGCTGATAGCCACAAACGGTGAATGGCTAAGACTCTACTCCAGTGCACCTGCACCTGCAACTAAAGACAACTAAAAAGACTAGCCGGCGGCACTGGCGACTTCGATGTGTATATAAAATGATTGGGCTGTGAGGCAAGTGGGGCCACTTTTACTGCCCCAGACTCACCTGTTGGAGCTTTGGCAAAGGTCCATAGTCGCCACATCCCCAGTCCGCAGACCTCACTCTCAATTTCAGGTGGCTTCTTCGGGAAGAGCTGAGCAATGCAGCACTCATCAATCAAAGGCAATCGAAAGGGCAAGTCGGGCTGCCGGAATGCCTAATTGCAGCTCCTGGTAAATTGTCGCCAAAACTTGTACATAACTGCACTGGAAAAAATGTTGTATGGCCTATGAAACTCAAATTTATTTGAACGAAAAAATGGTTGGAAAAATGTATAGGTATGCTATAAATAAATGCCTAAATACTTTTAACTGTTCTTAACTGGCCAAACAATTACTTTATCTGCATAATTACTTTTTATTATACACACATATTTTGTACTAATTTATTCAATATTTTTATTAATGTGATGTTTTTTGTAAGTATAATATTATACTTTTAATATATGTAAGTTTTATTATATTATGTAGCAATAAAAGAACCCTCAAAATATAAAAAACCCCTACAAAATGTTTACGTGTACCCATAAATTATTTAAAAAATGTAAACGAATGTTTGGGAATTTTTATACGAAAATTTCCTGTTCGTTGATAAATTTTAAAGTGCAGCAGCTGTTCCCTGTGAAATCCTTGTAAATTGCTTTAATTATTTAAACAGTTTTGCGGCATATTGAAGTGACAAACCTGCCTCTCCTCGACGACAAAAGGCAGGTGAACTGAGATAATTCACACCTGCAGCCGGCCTACGTGCAATTATTGACATTCAGTTCTGTAATAAAATATAAGTCCCGTCCCGGCGACCTAAAATTAATTAGGCTTTTAATATTTATGCTTTTTATGTTTTGCATTTGGTGGCGACAGGTCGCCAAGGACGCGAGTGACAGGGGACCGGGGTCTCAGGACGAAAGTATAAGGACGAAGGACTCTGGCCAGGACTTGCGTTCGTGTATGTGGGCAATTAATAAGCCAGAAATGCGACCGTTAATTCAAGTCGGCTTGGGAGTCCAACGCGCTGTCCTGCGAAAGGGTGCAAGATAAGTATCTATTATAATGAATATTTACTATATGTCGGCTGGCAGGACAGACGACATTAAAGCGTGTCCGACAAGTCCGAAGATCCCATTCCACCTCAGAAACTGAATGTCTGCTGATGTTTCATTGAAGGAGCCGCAACCAAATCCACTTTCCATGTCGTTGGTTCCCCGGGCACTGCTCCATTCATGGACCTTTTCTATTCTTCATCTGTATCAAACTTGACAGCAAAAAAGAGGTCTTTCATTTGCCTGTCAGGCCACCCAATTCCTGAGGCTCAAAAAAGTTAAAAAAGGGAAAAATTAATAAGATGGCTAAACTGTGGTATCTTGACTTTTTGTAACTGAAGATTTTTTGTAACAACTCTCATTATTATTCTTCAAACTCTACATCCTTTTTATTACAACATTCACTGAGAAAAATATTCATGTTTAATGGGACTCAAAAAACACTTACCACTCGTATATTTATTCAAAATATCTTTAAATTGGTTTGTTTTGAGGAAGTAACTGATATTAGTAATCGGAATTTTATTTAGAAAGTTAAATTCCATTTGGCTTTTATTAAGGAAACAAAAGTCTAAGACAACCACTTTTGGGAGCCTTTTCTGCCAATTTGTACCTGACGGACCATTTTGTAACCAAATTTATATGCAGCACTTTAAAGCCTATTTGGAATTTATAACACCCATTTGTTAAATTTTTAAAGGTCAATTTTAGTAAGACAGTATTATTTGAGTTTATCAATCGCTGAGCTGTAATTATCTCCTTTAATGACCAACATTCCCATTAGGCCTGCAATTATTGGGTAATAATGTGGTAGTTAAGTACTTCCAGAGCACTGCAATGGGCCATGTTTTACCCTCAAAAATATGTTTTGGCCAGAAATGGGCTGCTACTTTCACTCGTTTCGTTTCGGCTATCGATACACAACAATCGCGGCAATCGACGTTGAAGCAATGAAATTAGCGAACCGCAAACAAGACTTCAAATTACCTGCATTCATCCCGCTGAATCAGATACAATCCAATGGGTATTCGCATCGGGCTGTCGGATTTCTGGGGAAACGGGGAGTCGGTGCTAAAAAATATATGTATGTACATACATATAGGCGAGGTATGGATCGTATCGATTGCAATCGACAGCCGCTCACAATGGATCAGCCAGTAAATCAGGAAAGAAATGAAAGAGACTGGTAGATGTGGAAAGAAAGAGATGGTCGCGGTGGCAAAGAAAAGAAATGAGCAATTGCAGCGAGGCAAACATCCGCATCTTCGACTCCATCTCCACATCTCCATCTCCGCATGGCACACTTCCAACTGTGGCGCATAATTAAAACGCAACATAAATAAACATAAACACACATAAAGCTGTGATAAATTGGCCAGCGACGCAGCGGAAATGTGCGTTAATCCAATTAAATGGGCCATTTGCATGGCTGAAATGTGAAAATGTTGTTCATTAAAATTGGCAATACTTGGCAAGCAGGCATCTAATACCATTTAAACGGTGGCTACAGCTGCAGCTGCATTTGCAGTGGCACTTGCAGTTGGCACAGGACCCTTTTTGAGTCGGGGGTCATTTTCGGATTTGGGACAATGTCCTGCCACCAACTTATCGTCTAGTCTCTGTCTCTGGCCAGCATGTTTGTTTTGGCCACCACTCTATTCCTTTGTTTGGGTTGCTTTGACCCCAGGCTGTTTTCTTGTCACTGTGGTTACTGCGTCTTCTTCCATACAGTGAAGAAAATATTATAGGTTTTAAAGAGGTAATTCTGCAAACTGTTCTATCCCAAGCATAATTTTAGTAATAGGCATTGAATTGAAAGGCATCAGCTTAAGGTGCTAAAAATTCACTTCTAATTCTCCTTTCATTTGGAAAGTTAAAAAGGTCAAGTACAGAATTCATAATATTTTTTTATGTAACTCATAACTCCCATTTTTAAATTCACAAAAAAATGTTTTTCTTAAATATATTTTTAAAGATTTGTTTGCTTCATGGGAAATATCGGTAGATAACGACGTAAAAATATATCATTAAACAAATGTTTTCCCTCTGATTGCTTAAAGTTTATTTCTTTTGTGGAAAGAAGAAATATCGTCAATATATCTTCAAAAATATATCGTAGAAAATAAATGGTTTAAATATGAATGATCATAAATTATAAGTACATATCATTACTAAGATACCCATCATAGAAATTAAAGAAACAAATGTCTTTCTGTTTGCATAAATTTGTATGCTTTATTTCACATAGATTCTGGAAAATATGTACCATATATTTAAATAATATGTTGCCATAATTTATTATATTTTTTTTTGCCTGCATCATGTTAACATCCATTAAGCAGCGATTTGAACAAATCAAAGTCAGCTGCAGACCCAAGTGGGAGACCCACTCCAATCCCCCGATGCGAGTGACACGTGCCGAATGGATGATAACACGGCAAATAGGCCGAATCCTGGCAAATAAACTGCAGCGTAATGGGGCCCATTGTACAGTGCAAACACTGTTTACACAGACGCCAGCCACCCTGGGGAGTATACTCCTTGAAAATAAGGTATGGGGGCAAACGCGACCCCTCAAAAGTTTAACTTGTTCAATTTGCATGAGTCGCGGGCCCAAGTACAAACGATACTTTGCCCGAAAACTTTGTCCATAAAGCAGCTACAAAAACAGACAGAGCACTTGGACAAGGGGAATAATGAGCACGCGTCCCTTTGTCACCATCACGACACATATTCCATGTCCATGTCCTTTTCCTTTGGCAGTTAAGCCGCCACCAAAGCAAACGGACACGTGCGCCCAAAATAAAGGAGGTAGTGACTAAAACAATGGGGTTTCGGGGGTTCAAAGACCCCCTAAGATAATTCACTATCAACACTTAAGGAATTTTAGTTTGAAATTGGTTTAAATTATTAATTAAGCTTTAAAATAATCTTGGAAAATGGTTAACATTTTACTTTTTTATCCAAAAGCTTACGTATTAACCCCCCTTTAAATCTTCTTCTGCATACGCCTCTGTTCAAAAAGTTGGTTAAGTTGGAGAGGTGATTTTTGTCATGGGGTGGGAAGCGCTTGCTGATGGATTGTTTACAAGAAGCCGAGTCCTTTGAAAACGCTTTCTAATGGCCAGTTCCCAGTTTTTGCAGGGCTTCCTTCGCTGACCTTGGCTGCAACCCTGGTAATGCCTGGAAATTTGCATATTACGTATTCGTTTTGAAGATGGCAACCCTCCTGTGGTGACAATTAATTTCGTACAGCTCATTAGGCGGTGAGAAACTTTCTCCCAGGGTGGCTTAAAATTGGGAACTTGAAATGGGAAATTGGGGGTCCCTTCTGTTTTGGTATTATCTATTAGCGAGGTGGTAAGGTCAATTAGGCAATTTCACGCTGGCAAGGCTGTAACTTCCATTAAATACAACTCTGCGAGTGACAAGTGACTTAAAAGAAGCACATTTTAAGTTTAATATTCAGCCAACAAAAATGGAAAAAGTCCGGAAATCTATTAAGAGGGAAAGTCCCTCTGATGAAGAGTTCATCTCAAAAGAGGATTTGGAGGCGGAAAAGCCGGTGCAGAGCGGCAGTTCCAACGAGGAAAGCGATGAGGAGACGGAGGAAGGTCGTCAGGATCAGAAAAATGTGGATGACATCATCTCGGAGATGGACGAGGAAAAGGACAAGGAGCAGGAGGCGATTTGTGTGCTGGATAGAAACAGCGAGGAGTATAATCGCAATATGTACGGTGAGTGGTTCGCCAAAGGTGACAAGTTCATAAATATCCAGAAACTCCTTCTTCCAGAACTAAGTCTCCTCTCGCCAGCTGCCATGGCACTTCAAATCCAGCGGCTGGAGAACGAGCTCTACGAACTTAGCCAGCGGGAAGCCAGGGAACTCACCCGGAGCAAACACCTGCGCATCTTCGGCAACTCCCGCCGTCGCTCCAACAAGTGACCAAGTGGCAAATCTGCTTAAATAGTACATATACTGTGATGACTTTGATGGTATCAAATAAAGGGTCGTCAACGAAAGTGACTCCATCTCCATCTCCATCTCCACCTCCATTCCTCTTCCAGTGGCGGACATAGCTCCACATGGCCCAAGTGGCCAGATGGGCCGCATTCTGGGAAATGCCACTGAGTCGGAGGCAAAGTCCCATGAAAGCCGCTTACAGGGCTTAATTTCTCGAAATGGACAAAAGCCATCGACATTCGCCCACGACAAAGCCTCCATCCTACGCCTACTACAGTGAAACTTTTTATGTTGAACTTACAGAAACTTATATATTTTAATTTATTATTTATTATTTTAAAATAATCAAAGGTAAAGATTCTTTTTAAGGGGTAATATTTTTAAATTTACTTTATTTCCTGGCTTTTTAGAAATTTATATATCTAGTTGTTGCTTTTTGAAAAATTTAGAAGAAATTTAATTCATTCTTATTTAAGGTTATTTTTTAAAGTTTCTTATCTTTATTTTATAAATTTAAAGTATTCTTATTTAAGATTATTTTTTAAAGCTCTTTATCTTTATTTTAGCCAATATTCTGGTTCAATTATAGCTTATAAAATATCTACATTTTTATACATTTTTAATATTTTTATATTTTCACAGATTATGATGATTACGGTGAGAATCATTATTGAAGACAAGCCGCTTAAAACATTAGGATTTGAATCATAATTATTAGATTTAAAAGTAAATTATTTTTAAATTAATTATTAAGCATTTCATTAAATCATGGTATTACATTATGAACTTTAACTTTAAGAAGAAAATTAGTTAAACTAATACCCGCATTTAAGAACCAAGGTCATTCAATTTGGTCTCTATTTCCGCGTTTTAATAAACTTTCGTTTAATGTATTTCCAGCTCTAAAAGTTCGCCTGTAGTAACTAGGAAATGCACATCACATTGGGGAAGCGGGTACAGTGCGTCAGGGATTGGGCATTAATCGTGCATTAGAGTCTAGAGTTTGGATGTCCGGAGCTGTGGCATCCGCTCCAATGGGCTTCCTGTGCGCTTAGTGGCCCCCCTCCCTTCGCTCTTCCTGCCTCGCAGATCGTGGTTGGGGGGGGCTTTTGTGGAGTAACTCAATTCAAAGCAAATAGTAGCCAGTTTATCACATGGATTTGTGCTAATTTTTCCATTTCCTTGCTCGCCTGGGGAATTGTGAACCCGATCCGAATTGGAGTTGGGAGTTAGCCCAGCTCTCGAGTTTCCCCAAGTTCTTAAGTTGATTAAATTTCACGCGATTTGATTCGATTTTCAATTATACCAAATACCGAGTGCCTTAAATCCATTATGCTAAACAAATACATCTCCCGTATTTTCAGTTGCTACTGCGTGTCAGTTATCAATGTCCTGGAAAAAGGGAAAGACATGGAAATCTGTGGGAGTTGGGCAAAGCTTTTTGATGCCCGTCCGAGCAACTTCCTGGCATATCCTTTCGGCTGTCTGGTTGTCTGGATGTCGGATGATGGTGATGCAGTCGCTCTTCTCCTGCCCTCCAAAAAAACTCTGTTTGTTGTTGTTGTTTTCGTTGCTTTTGGTGGTTGCGGGTGCAAATGTTTAACGGGCTTCAAAGGGATTCCCCGGCTGCCCGTCCGTCAGTTTGGGCGATTTGGGGTTTGTCACAACACGGCATTACCCAGACTCCGTCAAAGACGACATTTGAATGCAACATGTGTCCGGGATTTGGGCTTTGTTAATTTTCAACCCTCGGTTCTTAAGGGTGGAAGTGGAACGCCTCCCCCGACTAATAGAATATGCTCATTATGGGATTCCGAGCTGAGTGGATTTCAGTGTTGCACGCATAACTCAAACTAAATTATTATAAATGAATTCATAATCTTCTTCACATCATAGCTACTTCTAGGGACTTTCAAGGGGTCTATTCAAGTACGTATCTACCTCCCCCAAAGAATGTCAAATATTCAAATATGAGCGAAAGGATTCGCCATTTATTGGAGTGCCTGCACTGATTGAATTTACTGCGCAGTTTACGCGGGGGATGAGAACTTAAACCCCCTTTTATGACTATAAATTTGTATGGAATTTGTTAGCCAGATAAAGAATGATTTAGTTTTGAAAAAAAAACTTCAATAATACCACATTTTGGTTTCGTTTTAGAGTATTTAAGAAATTGTATTCCCAGAATTTTAAATAAACTGCAATTCTAACGTTAGAAGTCCTATAATTTAATACTGAAATAACCGAATACATTTTAATTTAGCCAATATCAAAGGAAACTCTGATGAATGAAAATTGTATATACGCAGACACATTTGTATAGTTCAATGATTTCATTGATTGGGAAATTCATGCATGTCTGTAATTAAATTAAACGTTGCTAAATAGAATGTTGCTGATATGTAGTTCAAAAAATAGTTTAAAATAAACACACATAGAAAATCGAATTACAGGGCAGTTAACAAACTGATTTATAACCATTAAATGGTCGATAATTGCATTAGATTCATAAAAATATTAATATTAATATTAAATATTAATGTTCCCTATCCAAATACAATTTTTCCAGCAATTCTTGTTTGTTATTTCTTATAGTTTCGTAACACACTGTAAACTGAACTTATGTGAAAGATATTTGCCTTGGGCTGCATTTAATTACCTGAACAAACGGTCGCAACATTTGTGTATATATCTAATTATGGTTAAGTGCTAGCAACTGGCACGCATTGTATGCTAATTTATGCAAATCTCCTCGCAAATCATATCAATTCCTCTTGCATTTAATTGCACCCTTTCCACTGGTTATGTTGTGGAAAAATAGCATTAAATTAGCCAAGTGCAGCATAAATTTCACACCGAAAATACAGAGAAAAATTGCGCTCCCAGGGCAATTCACTTGGCTGAAGCCATTGTCTCCCCCTTTTTCCGAGGGGGTTTTTTGTGGAAATGGGGGTCGGAAAACGGGGGGGACAGACACAAAGAAAATCCCAGCGAAGTTCGCTAAACTCAACAGCAGCATCTGCAAGCCAAACAACAACAACAACAAAGGGAGCAGAGTGGCTATATCCTAGAAACCAGACAAAGGATAAACAGATTCCTGGCCTTTGCATCCTTTTTGAACTGTGTTTATCAAACCGAAGTCGTGTTTATGTTGGGACGTGGCTCCACCTGATCCCAAGGTTTCATTTCTATTCAAATATTCTAGACTGCTCACTTGGGCGCAGTTTGAGTCCCCCATCCAAATAATGTGGGGGAATCTCTCCTCTGTGCAGGTTAAAAAACTCATTAGGAAAATCCTTGGGCGACGGAAATTAAATAAAATCCTATTAGGCGCTCTATTTGCTGCTGTGCCAGTGGGAGGGAAATGAGGGAAAAGTGCGGTCTGGAAAAACTCCACACTTAATTTATGTGCACGCATTTCGTTCCCGTTACGACATTTCAGCACAGAACGAAATCTAATTATGATAGATAGCTGCTCCCAACTCATGGCACTCGCTTTTTCCTGCCCCTCCACATCCCACTCCTTTTTTTCCCATTGGGAAAACTCGCGTGCAGGTGCATTTTGTCACTTGGTCGGCCGACAGCCGAAGATCTGCCTTAATAAAGATGGAAATATAGGGAGGTTTAGAAGGCGGGATTTGGGAGGGGCCAGGCACTGACTTCGAGGGGCGGACATCTATATCCTAACACATTGCTGATCAAAAGAATCCGAAAATGCTTTGATTTCACAGCTCTCTTTTCGGATTTTCGTATTTTCGCATTTCCCATTTCCGCATGCTCGGCTCTTTCCACTTGTGGATTACTTTTACAAGTAGTTGCCAAAACATAATATCGAAATATATATTATTATTTCCCAAATATCTTTAATAATATTTTTTAATAACGATTTTTAATAATTTTAAAATTTGTTAACCTGTTTTACTTTTTACAATTATTTTATCAGTAAAGAAAAACTACCCAAAGTTTTTGGTAAAAGAAAAACCCTGGTAAATTTTAAATCGAGTTAAAGAAGCATATAAATTTAAAAAAATGTATAATAAAAGTAAATACATTTAAAACGTTGATGTAACTGATATGGTTATATTTATATGTCTGCCTTGTAAAGGCAAACAAACATTGCTTTAGTAGGATGAGCTGGCCAAATGAAATTTTCGACAATTTGGCAAATGTTAACTTTGCTAATTTGCATAAACCGCAGCCGCCACAACAAAAAAAAAACCAAAAAATGAAAACCGTCAAGCCAACCCCCAAGAAGGGCAACACAAATTATAGAAAACTGCTGGCGAATGCAACATTTTCGAGGGACTGGGAGGGGGGGTGGAGTCCTCGCGGGAGAGGGGGCGGTGTTGGCCAGACCAGACGACGACCAACTGACTGAGTCCTGCTGGATCCTGGCGGCTCACTTTCACTGAACGACTCGACAGTGAACCGTAATCCCCAGCGAAGGCTGCCAGACACGTGCTCACGACCCGGCAATTTGCGTGTCTGGGTGTGCGAGTGTATCTGTGTTTCGAAACTGTAATTGTGTGTGTTGGTGTTGCAAGAAGGACGATCCAAGGAGACCTAGACTAGAAGGCAAATCCAAAAATCAGTGAGAAAAAATATAACTTTCTTCGGCTTGCATTCGCCAATCAAAATGGCATTGTTAAAAATATGTATAAGTTCGAAAATATTGGGAAAAAGTTCTATTAAAAAATATCCTGCATAATTTGATTTATTGATGGTAAATTGGTTAACTAATTTTCGGTAAGCTCTCTTAGATTTGTTTACAAATAAAGTAGTTTTCGCTTGTGATAAATTCACAATTGTTTATTTTTTTTAATATTTGGGAAATTCAAATCTGAAAAATCTGGATTTTTCAAGGAAAATGTTGTATATATAATTTCATATTCAGTTGCGAAAAAAGGAGCTTACTTATTTCTTAAATTCCTTTACAAAAATATTATTTAAGAATTGTAAAATATTATTCTAAGATTTTGAAG